GGAGGCGGAGGTTGCGGTGAGCCGAGATCGCGCCATTGCACTCCAGCCCGGGTAACAAGAGCGAAACTCCGTCTCAAAAAAAAAAAATAATAATAATAATAATGATAATAAATAATCAGCAGTGATATCCATGTACCCAAGTACTACACTGAGGGCTTGGTGATTACAAAAGACCCTCTCTTCAAGCCAATCCTATTCCAAACAATATGAACAACCAAAAAAATCCTTTAAAAACAACAAAACCTTTAAAGACTGAGCCGCTGATTAGTCAGTGTATGTTTTAGCCAGGTCATCGGTTTATTTTCCTTCCTCTTGTCTTTTGGCCATTTTTCCACCACAGAATCCTAGAACATTACTTTTTTTATATAAACACAAGTAAAAAATCAGAACTAGTCTTTGTTCCTGCTTTTTAAGTGCTTGACAAAAGATTTGATAAAGAAAAAATCTGGAACTACTGTGTAAAATAACATTAATGCTCATATTATTTCTGCCTCACATTAGAAGAGAATCAAGAATGATTTGGTATTGTGGGTTCAACTTACTCAAGCATTACCTGTCAGATTCTCCTTTAACCATGATTATGGTTTCAGAGATCGATGACACTTCAGCCTGAGACAGTTCTAAACACCTACTTGGAGCTCTTTTATAGTAAATAATCAGGGAATGTCACACTTTTTAATTAATTCCCTACATTCATATATGCAGTTTTTTACTAGAGGTTTTTCATGTAACTTAAGACTCTCCTAGCATTAAATGTTTCGGTCATCTCACTATATAGTACATCTGGACATAAAAGGTGTAACATTATAAACAGCTACAAAATCATAGATCTACAACAAATGAGAGTAGGTAAGATGAACTTCTTTCATCCTAACACTTGGGCTAAATTAAAATGGCTATAATCAGGTTAGAACTAGCAGCTGAAGGGGGCATTAATGCCTTGTGGTTAAGAACATAAGCTGTGAAGTCAAGATGGAGTTCAATTCCAGCTCCACCAATTACAAGCTGTCTAACTTCCGTCAAGTTCTTGATCTCTCTGTGCCTCAGTTTCCTCATCTTTAAAATGGGCAAAACCAAGAACTTACCCCACAGGTTTGAGAATTCATCAAGAGTATAAAGAATGACAATAAGCATTCAACTTAGTTATGATTATTACTCTTACCATCAAGATCTAAAAAATTCAAGACTAGTAAGAGAAACTGACCCTTCTGTAAAATGAATTATTCTATTCAGAAATTTTATATATTTAATTTGTTCATTCTAAAGAAACTGAGAAGATCTGACTTCAAACTATAGTTTCAAATGCAGACTTTGTGAAACTTAGCAAAATCTAGAGGTCATAATTTAACTATAAGCTACCATTCATGCATATGAACATGAGTGCCTGGTAATAACAGGTCAACCAGTTGTACTGGGTACCTCTTACATACCTAATACCCCATAAATAAAGATTTCTCGTATTTGAGCCAGTGACATTCAGAAATGAAGGCCACAATCGTGTACCCAACTAGAGAGCTATAATCTAAGAACTAAAGCATATTTTTCCCCAAGGTAAAGAGGGAAAAATATGTTTTTCTGTTCATGCAGAAAAACAGACATAAGTATCATAGGCTTATTCCCCAATTCTACATTCTAGCTAAAGTGCTCTAAAAACATATGCCAACCTAAGTTACTCAAAGGCACATTTTGCCAACTGCAAATGCAATTCTGACCCATGCTCCTTGTACTTTTATTTTGCCACTAGACACCAAGGATACATCTCCGAGTAAAAAAAAAATTACTTAATTCACATCATGGGATTAAAAGTCAAATGTCAAACAGACTGTAAAGCCAGCCAGCCACCTGGGTAAAAGTATATACATTTCATATTGACTACCCAAATTTTGAGACCCGTCAAGAGGTAAATCAGCACACAAGAAAAACAGCTTCAACCTAATAAACGTGCCTGACTGGTTAAGAGGAGGCCTGCCAGGCACAGTTTCCCTTGCAATAAATCTTACTTCGCATCAACCCACGTTAACCTGCCCTTCATGCCTTCATCCTTCATGGAATAAATAAGTAAATATAAGGCCTAATTACTCCTCGAAATTTGCCCAGAAAGTAGGGAAACACTGGAAGTCCCATTAAGGCTGGACTTCACAAAAAGTAGCATACTAGGGTCCTCTGGAAGCAAAACCCTGTGTTGTCTCCCCTCGCCTAAAAATAAACACAAGGATACCCTTCAGGATATGGAGTAGAAAAGATACCTAAATACCTGGCATGACAGCAAGTCCCAACCAA